TTGTGCAGAATCGGTTCCCAAAGCAGGGAACTGATCATTGCAAAGCAAAATCCCCACATTTAGACCATTGTTTTGCGATCGCAATTGCGATTGTAAAAAGATCGTCGTTAAGCGGATTCGTCGTAATGCGGGGCAATCATAAAGCAAGGCACCACTGTATCGTGACGGGCAGAAAATAGCAGGAAAGGAGGAACATCTCATGTTAGGTGGATTGCCTCCATTAAGGAAGCCATAGCCTTGTATTAACAATAGACCTGAGGGTCTTTTCATAGAATCATGAATTAGAAGAGGCCTGTAAGGCCATCAAGTCCAACCCCCTGCTCAAGGCAGGAATCTGAATCAAAGTACATCTGACAGAGGGTTGTCTAATTTTCTCTTGATTGCCTCCAGCAATAGAGCCCTCACCACCTCCTGAGCTCATTGGTTCCCTTGTTGTATTGCTCTAACCATTAGGGAGCTTTTTCCTGATACTTTGGAGATCATTAAGCTTGCCATGAGCTGGTAACAACTACATGGCATATAACAGCAAAAGTCACTTATTTCTTGTTACTTGGAATTAGCCTTTAAAGGCATTTGCCTTTTTAAGGCAGTATTATACCATGGCTTGTGGAAAATGCAGATGATGGAGAATGGAAATGAGAAATCCATGTGGATAAGAAGAAACAGTTGTGACAGTGAGCAGGAACTAGCATTGCCCAGGAGAACCTATATTTTATATTGAAGAGTGATAAATATAAATGTCCTTGATCATAAAGGGTAGTGCCTAGAATATGTTTCCCAACCTTGGGTCCCCAGATGTTCTTGGACTAAAACTCCCAGAAGCCTTCACCACGAGCAGTGCTGGCCAGGATTTCTGGGAGTTGTAGGCCAGGAACATCTGGGGACCCAGGGATGAGACCCACCGGGATAGAGGATTGAACCAGGACTGGCAAGACCAATTTCTCTCTCTCTATCAGCCATGGAGCTTACTGGGTGACTTTGGGAAGCCTGCTTCTCCGAACCTGGCCGACCTCACAGGACTGTTGTGAGAAGGAAAGTAGGAAGGCGAGAGAGCCGTGCACACCACTTTCAGCTCACGAGAAGAAAGGGAGGGTGTGGGCATAACTAGGAAAGCAACAATACTGGGAGTGTTGCATAGAGGAGGGTAGCCATTTGTGTAAGCCTGTAATTAGCCCACAGAAGTTGCTAGTCAGCTAAAACAAGCTTCCTGCGCGTGAGAATAAGAGGGGGCCAAAAGGTGTGTTACTGTGCTGGGGTGCAGACATGAAGTCCTCCACCAAAAGGCCTGCCTGCCTGCTTCTCTAAAGGATATAAATATTGCAGGTCTCTCGGTCAGTATCAGATTTCTCCCCTGCAACCAGCGTTAACAAACAGGCAAGGAGGAATCATTGCTGCTGGAAAAAAACGCCCTGTCTTACGAGCCCAGGTGTATTGGGGGGGGGGAGCTGGAGCAGCCGCACAGTTTCATTGATGATCACACAATTTCAGCATTGGATTGGGAGTGGAGAGATCTGGGTTTGATTGGTTACTGGGCTGGGAAGTTTACACTGTGACATTTGGTGGGGAGGGTGTCTTCTTTCCTTTCCTTCCTTTTCTCTTGTCCTTCTTGCCCTAAGTTACCTGGCAGGTTTGTTGTACAGCAGGAAAACGAGGCCCGCTGCTTGATCTCCCTATAAGGGGAAAGTAACAGAAAGTGCAATACAGTGGTGCCTCGCTAGACGATGATAATCCGTTCCACTGAAATCGCTGTTTAGTGAAATCATTGTCTAGCGAAAAGCATTTCCCGATTGGAATGCATTGAAACCTGTTTAATGCGTTCCAATGGGGAAGAATCGTCGTTGTCTAGCGAAGATCGGCGATAGGAAAGCCGCTTTGTGAACCGCCGATCAGCTGTTTAAATCACTGTCTTGCGAAGCTTAGGTCCCGAAAACACCTGTTTTGCGAGCATGGAAGGAGCTGTCAGAATCGTTGTCTAGCGAAAATCGGTTTGCGAATCAGGGACCAAACATTGTCCAGCAAAATTCCCCCATAGGAATCACTGTTTTGTGAATCGCTATAGCGATAGCAAAAAGCCAATGTCTAGCGAAAAAACTGTCATGCGGGGTAACTGTCTAGCGAGGCACCACTGTACATGAAATAAATTCAGCGGTTGTGCCATTGTTCTCAGAGCTCCTTGGGAGTGATGTTGGGAGGTTGATTTGGAAGCATTGAGACTGTCTGCAAGAGTAAAAAAATAAAATAAAATAACCAGCTTTAAACGCTCAGGGTGAATTTAGGAATGACTGGCCCTTCAGCAACTGGTGTTTAAGGAGGACGTGGAATCTTTGGCTTGTCCTTTCTATAGAATTAGAGAACCTGGAGGCCCTGTCTTAATGTTTTGGTGGGTTGCAAGGAGAAGGCATGGAGGATGAGATAAGATGTTCTTCTCCAATGTTGGTTCTCCACCTTTCCTTGCTTTTAGCCAGTTCTTCCCAACTTTGCATCCCCAGACTACAACTCCCAGAAATCCTGACCAGCACAGCTAGCGGTGAAGACTTTTGGGAGTTTTAGTCCAAGAACATCTGGGGACCTAATGGTCTAGACACGGGCTATCAAGAAAAGAAATATGGCCCCCAGGGTGGTCCATGGTGATCTTCCAGACTTTGGACGGCAGCTCTGATGGAACGTCACTCTTGGGTAGGCTTGTTGGGAGCTGAAGTCCAGGTACAGCTAGAGGACCCCAAGCAGCCTCCCTGGTCTTCGAGAGAGTAGGACGCAGCTTCCTCCCAACCCTGGCTTCTAACCTCCTTCCCCCAGCCTTCCTTGCTGTGGGCACCACCTCTCAGCTGCGTGGCGGTGTCTCTGCGCCAACATCCTGTCTGAGATAGGAGCCTTATCTCCTTCTGCCAGTGCGAAGGATTAAGGCAGTTGAACGCCTTCCAGCTTTGCAGCTGGCCGTGTGCCTTTCCCGCTGTCGATTCGCGGAGAAAGCAAAAGGATATTAATGTTGAACCCTCCCGATAGGCATCAGCTCAGGAATCTCTTGCTTTCAGGAATGTTTGGGTTGAGATCCCTTGGCCGTTGCAGGAAGGAAGGAGGGAGGTTTTCCTGCTTCCTGGATCAGAGATGGGGCTGCACTTTCGTGGGCCCTTGATTTGGTGAAACAGGAGTTGTCAGATCGTAAGGGGTCCACTAGGAAGACAAATAATATGGGTTGTATTCTAATATAATTGTTGCATACAGGAAGACAGAATTATGTTAAATTGTGGAGCCAGCGTTCGTTCCATTTTTTATTATTGCTGCTTTTCTGTATAACCGTATTTTGCCGTTTTTGTTTTTCTCGTTAATTTTTGCATATTATATCCTGGTTTTGCTCATCTTGGATTCTGGGACCTCTCTATGGTGCCGGAAAGACTCTCCAGCTGCTTGGGCTTTAGAAAAGCCAGCCATCATTGGATAAGCAGTGGGCAGTCACTTTCGAGGATATCTTTCTGACCATAAGGGCTGGATGCTTAAGATATTTATAATAAATAATAATGATGTATAGTAATAGAATTACAGAGCTGGATCATCAGTCCAGCCCCTATCGAGGAAACACAGTGGGGAATTGAACTCCCAACTTCTGGCTCTTCAACTAGAGTCTGGAACCACGGGACTGTCCAGCAGTTCATGGTTAGAAGGCAGCAATCTTATATGTGGTTATTTGGGGGAAGCAGTACCCTTGTGCTGACTAGGATTTGCTTTAACATGTAGAGCAGTGGTCCCCAACCTTGGGCCTCCAGATGTTCTTGGACTTCAACTCCCAGAAACCCTGGCCAGCAGAAATGGTGGTGAAGGCTTCTGGGAGTTGTAGTCAAAGAACATCTGGAGACCTGTGGTTGGGGACCACTGATGTAGAAGACTAACGTGCCCGTGTGAAGTGGATCAACTCCTTGCTTTCTGTGGGGAAAATGCAAAAAGCAGGAGGTGTGTATGGGATGACATCCGTGTAAAGGGGTTGGGAAAGCCCAAGTAAGAACATACAGCAGAAGGTCTCTCCCGCAAAACCGCTGCCTGTCTCACCCATGGGACAATCCACGGTGTTAAAAATGGTAACACCTAAAGGAGGCCAGAAGAGTGAATAACAGGAACGGAAACCAGGCTTTTTCGGTGGTGGCCCCATATCTCTGAAACAAATGTCCAACAGAGGTGGAGGGCAGGCACCTACTGTCCCTCCCGGTTTTTAAGCAATTCATCAAAACAGAATTATGTGAAGCTGCTTTTTATCTAGTGCTTTGTTCCCTGAGATGTTCAAAGTTGTTTACATTTATTTATTTATTTATTTATTTATTTATTTATTTAAAGATAGATTTAGTTAGTTACAGTAATTTTATTGATTTTATGATATACAGGATATTTTCATATATCGTACTGTATTAATTCATTTAATGTGGTTTAGTATTACTTTTGTCAAGTATGCTATGGGATGGTTTGCAAGCTAATTAATTAATCTTAGAACTGCAGAGCTGGAAGGGATGCTATGTGTCATTGAGACCAGCCCCTGTCCGGGAGGCACAGTGGGAAATTGAACTACCAACCTCTATCTCCGCAGCCAGATGATTGAACCACTGAGCTATCCAACAGTTCCAACCGTAGATATGTGTGTACGTACCTCCCTAATACAGTGGTCCCCAACCTTGGGTCTCCAGATGTTCTCGGACTTCAACTCCCAGAAATCCTGGCCAGCAGAGGTGGTGGTGAAGGCTTCTGGGAGTTGTAGTCAAAGAACATCTGGAGGCCCAAGGTTAGGGGCCACTGACCTAATACATATGTTATTTTTAAAAGGCTGGTGTGTGAAGCCCTTTTCTTGAGTTGGGTTACAATTCCCATTATCCTCCATGCCATGTTAGTTGGGGATGATGATGACTGTAGCAGGCCAGATTGGTGAAATCTCCTATGTGTCACTTCCATCTATCTTTTGTGCTCTTCAGATCCTCGTTTCTGCCTTGGAGAAATTTGGTGTGTACTTTCACTCAAACGTGTGCATTTTTCTTCAAATGGTTATATTCTGCAAGGAAAGAAGACCAGCATACCTGGGTCCTAGAGCCCCTTTTAATCTTAGCAGCAACCCCGTGAGATCATTTCAACTGAGGCCAGCCTGCAGCTCCCTAACAAGCTTTCAGGCTGGGTAATAAGGATTCAATCCTGCTTTTCTCCCAGACCTAGTTGTGTGCTAACCACTGTGCTGTGCTATCTTAAAAGTAAATTACCCTTGAGAAGAACATGGGATGGTGGATGTATTATACATCTTGTGTTTTGATTTAAATTTGTTTCCTCTTAGTTTCATGTTACCGTATTTTTGTGTGTGTATAAGACACCCCCATGTATAAGATGCCCCCCACTTTTCTAATCCAAAATTAAGAAATTTAAGTGGGGCTTAGCAAGTGCAGGGGGAAAGGGATCAAAGCGCTGCAGGATCGTTTTGATCCCTGCATTCCCATCCACTTGTTTTTGTTTTCTCCTCAGCTTACTTCCCTGTATAGACAACCCTCAATTTTGGTCTAAAGATTTAGACAAAAGTATAGTCTTATACACTGAAAAATACAGTATTTGAATCTTTCCTTGGTTTTGTCTTTATAGTTATATTATTATGTATTATTAACAAAATTAATTTTTAAAATGGAAAAAAATAGAAAGTAAGTAAAATTAACCCTGATGTGTGTGATTTCACAACTGCACTGGCCAAACCCTCAAGTTCACTCCTAGGTGTCAAGTTTTATGTCCTAAATAATTTCTGTCTCCTGGTTTTACTTCTGAATCCCATGTCTCTCGGCCCTCGGCCCCATACCTCCTTGTCTAGCAGGAAGTGAATGAAGTTTGAAATGCTGGCTTCACATGCTGGTTTAGGGCGATTTGGTTTGATGCTAATGATAGGAGATGATGGGTTTGGTGCAGATGGTTCAAGAGCAGCAGTAATTGAAACAGTTTTCTACAGAAAGTCTGATCTTTCCTGGAACCTCATCAGAAATTTCTCAAAAAGAGTTGCAACAGCGGTCAAACTTCCGTGCAAAACTTTTTGCCTGCCATTATTCCTCTTCTGCTTGTAGCCCATAAGTAAAGGTGTTGTACATGCATCATGTGTGTGTCAGACATGTGAGGCTCAGAACTGGATGGTTAGCTCAGCGAGTTAATTATCTGACTATAGAGCCATAGGTTCGGAGTTCAGTTCCCCAGTGGGCTTCCCAGGTAGGACTCTGATTTGACATATAAAATATTTATTAAGCGACATAAACAAGACAACCACCGAATCAATGGCCAAATTCCCTTTCTCTGCTCAAACAATACAAAAGACAATTTTCTTTTGCCTCTGCCTAACCCCGTCATAAAAACGATGTCTGGGTAATCTATTTTATTAACTTATACTGTTTTAGATATCCTGAAATGTTTTAATTGCTTCCATTTATTTTAAAGATTACATGTATGCATTTTAAAGATTGATTGATTGAAAACACTAGAAAGGGTTACCATAAGTCAAAACTGACTCGCAGTCACACAGTTGTTATTATTACAGTGGTGCCTCGCAAGACAAATGCCTCGCAGGACAAAAAACTTGCAAGACAAATGGTTTTGGCAATGGTGGTTGATGACTCGCAAGACGAATGTTTCTATGGCCGTGCTTCGCAAGATGAATGTTTTCCACTTTTTGTTCCTGCCTGATGTTTGCTGATTTTTAAATGTTTTTCTATGATGTTTAAAAAGATAACGTTTTTTAATTGAAATTTTTTAAATCATCTGCACAATATGTATGGTTTTAAAGAGCACTTAATAAACCCTTTGTAAACCAAATTTGACTGTATTCCGACTTTTTTTTGCCCATAGGAACACATTAATTAGATTTCAATGCATTCCTATGGGAAAACGCGTTTCGCAAGATGAATTTTTCGCAAGACAACATTAACCGTGGAACGAATTAAATTCGTCTTGCGAGGCACCACTGTATTAGGGAAGCTCAGTAAGTGCCATCAGGAGAGAGCTGTGCTTCTCTGGGGGCCGGCCCAGTTCCTTTGCTGTAGAGGGGCAGGTGCCACCGTTGACAGAGCCATGAAGGTGGCAGCATAGCATGCCTGGGTGACGGATGACCTCAGTGCCTCCTTTCCCACATGGCATGCCTCCAGATGTTTTAGATGCCCAGACAGGTAGGTCAGCATTGCCACTTTCTTGGAGGTGGTGCCCAGAACCATCTGTAAATGAAAGCTCTGGTGTGATGTTTAGATGAGGGCAGGGTTGGGAACTTCCTGATACTGCTTGCAGGTTGTTCCTACGAGAACCAGATACAGTGGTGCCTCGCATAATGAGTGCGCCGTTTAACGACAAATCCGCATAGTGATCTATTTTTTTAGATCGCTAATGTGATCGCATTGCGATGTTTTAATGGGCAAAACATCACATTGCAATAATCAGTAAGCGTTTTGCTTACCGATCTTCGCATTGCGATGTTCCTAAAACAGCTGATTGGTGGTTCCAAAATGGCCACCGGGTGCCCAAATGGCCGCCGCAACCATTTTCGCATGGTTTCCTCGCTTACCGAGGGCGCGAAAATGGCGGCACTATGGAGGAACTTCACTGAACGGTGAGTTTGGGCCCCATAGGAACGAAGTTTAATGCATTCCTATGGGTTTTTCCATTCCGTTTAGCAATGTTTCCACATAGCGACGATTAATCCGGAACCACTGCACGTCATTGCCAAAGTTTGCGCTCGTAGCTGCAGATGTCCCAGCAAAATCGGGGGTCACAACTGCACAAAGACCTCCAGGTTTTAATGTCAAGATACGGCTGGGAAAGGGGCACTCCAAACCTTAATACGGCCGTAACACTCACTGGGTGATGGAGAGCTTCTACCACTCAGCCGATGCTACCTTGCAGGGTGGTTGTGAGGATTAAATGCAGGGGGAGACGCTATCTGGTCCCGTAGCTTTAGGATTTCTTGAGAAAGCAAGAGAAAGATGACATTAAAATGACAACATCGTTCTCTGTAAATATATCCTGAGCGGAAATGTTCTTTCCTCAAGTCTCAGTGAGAAAAGAGAAACAGGTTTTAATCGATAAATTGATGAGCTACATAAAATGTTGCACCTCGCAAACATTCCTGGGAGCTGTGGAACTCCTCGCCAAAGGAAGTTTGGTTGACTAGCATTCTCTTGGTTTGGTTGACTAGCACTCCCTTGGTTTTTATACCAGTGAACAAACCTAATTTTGTTGGGACAGAACTTTGGCATCAAATCTGACTTTGAGTGAGATAGTTTTTTTTTCATGAATCTCTCTGCTTTATATTTTAGTTGTGTTTCTCTTAAAACTGTTCATGCTTGAATTCAGTTGGCCCAATTGGATTTACACACCTGTGACTGCTCTTCTCTTAGAAGAAACCTGGGTGTTGATCAGATAAATTAATTAAAATGTGTATAGACCTCAGGTGCGCAGAGGTCAAAAGACAGTGTGTTTGTATTCTTGGGGTGTTGGGGGGCATGTTTAGGAATAAAAGTGCTGCAGGATGGCTTTGATCCCTGCTTTCCCCTCCACTTGCTAAGCCTTAGCAAAAGGAAAGCAGGGATCAAGGTGCTGCATGATCGCTTTGATCCCTGCTTTCCCCTCCACTTGCTAAGCCTTAGCAAAAGGAAAGCAGGGATCAAGGTGCTGCATGATCGCTTTGATCCCTGCTTTCCCCTCCACTTGCTAAGCCTTAGCAAAAGGAAAGCAGGGATCAAGGTGCTGCATGATCGCTTTGATCCCTGCTTTCCCCTCCACTTGCTAAGCCTTAGCAAAAGGAAAGCAGGGATCAAGGTGCTGCATGATCGCTTTGATCCCTGCTTTCCCCTCCACTTGTGTTTGTTCTCAGCTTACTTCAGTGTATAAGACGACCCTCAATTTTTAGTCTAAAGATTTTAGACAAAAGTATAGTCTTATGCATGGAAAAATACGGTACCTCTGCGATCAGCCTTATCCAAACATCTGGGTGCCGGTTTGCATATCTTTCAGTTATATCTGAGGTTTATGTCTGGCTTCTTTTTCTCTGCTCAAGATGGCTTTCAAACCCTGTCCTTGTTGAGTCGTTCTCTTCTCTCTTTGTCACAGCCACGAGAAAGGACAAGAAGTTGAAGAGGGAGTCGAGCTGCCGGAAGGTGAGGAGGGGTCCCGGGCTGGCCCAGAAAATGCCCAACCACCCTGCGCGAGCAAGTTGTAACCCCTGCCTGGGGAGGGATTTCTACTACCAGGCCACCGCCTGATAAGTAAGGCGTATAGCATGTCAGTGTGTGAACGGAAGCTGAGTTATTTTAGGTTTTCCCTGTTGGGATCCCCAGTGGGCAGTTTTGGGGTTGAGACATCTCTGTCTTTCCTCCTCTCCCGGCTCATTACCCTTGGCTGAAATTGTTTTCAAAGAACTACGCTCACATAAGGCTGATGATGTCAGAATAGGCAGTGATTTTGTTCGGAAATTAAAAATTTCCTACCTCTGTCCCAAGGTTTCCAAGGCTCCTGTGTAATTGTCGGGAGGCCATAGGAGCTGTGGGACGGGAGGAGGAAATGTCTGATATGTGAAAAACTGCTGCTGATAATGATAGTGTCAGCCTTCCTTGATGTAGCTGCACCAACAGAATTTCAGCCATTTAATGAAAGGTGTGACATTGATTACTCACAAATTAAAATCTAATCGGAACTGCCCACTTCTAGCAATGAAAACAGAACTTAATGGTGTGCGATTAGTTATACACTGGGATTGATTTTCCCAATTATTTAGTAATCTCATTTGTGTTCTGTTTTCCTTTGAAGTGCTCAAGGTG